TCTAGGGAGATGGCATGCGCATACTTACTTAGTTTTCTACATGAGTGTCTCCACTATTTGGGTTTGATTCCCTCCTAGTACATATCTGTAATGTTAAGGGTTATACTTATCATTTTTGTATTATATAAGCAGCTTACTGTGCTAATGTCTTCAAAGATTCTATGCTTATTTTCCAGAAATGGATTTTTCAATTTATTTGTATAGAATTTGCTCAAAAGTATTTTTTTAAAGTGTTTTTAAGACTTAGTAATTACATTTAGTTACTTTTATATATGGGTTGTTTCAAGGAATCAGCAGAAGTGTTCTGTGGACTTGAATTTCTGGCTGGCACTTTCCCTTGTGTTACCTGCCCTGCCTTACTGGTAGCTCCAGGTGTCAGCTGAGTAAATGCAGTGGCAGCTCTGTGGCGCTGTCTTTGCCTAGGCCTGGTTGTGTGCGTTCATGACCTACACATTGGCTCCTTTAAGCCCAGTCCTGCTCTTTGGGTTCCCGTCTTTGAAAACACAGCTTTTGCCTTGCTAGTGTTTGCGTCCTCATTCAGTGTACCCGAGAAGTCAGTCCAGTGGAGAGCCTGCACCATCTTTGCCGTGGTCCAGAGGCCTTGAGCCATTTATGGCTCTCAGGAGCACCTCAACTTCTACCACAGCTTGCCTTTCAGAAGACTCCCATGGGAATTTTTAAAAAACAGCACATCTTATGGGTGTAGACTTTTCATTCCTTAAATAATAGTGTAAGTGCAACTCAAAGCACAACTTCCTAGCTGTAAAATTCTTTTGAACTAAAGTAAAGGTAATTGGTAAGAGGGTTTACATCCTAAGTTCCAAAGTAGGGAATCGGAAATAGGCATAAAATAAACAACTACGTGTGTGTAGTTGCTTTATGAGAAATTGTCATCTTTTCTTGCCAAGATTTGTAAACAACTTTTTAGAATTTTTATTTTTCTTCAAGTGTTACATAAGATCATGTGTACATTCACAAACATTTATGGGTTTTTTACATTACATTTAAAAAGATAAGTTTTTAATCATTATATTTATAAAATTGTCTAGATCTATGTATGATTTAATGGAACAAAACTTCTGACACTCTCACGATCATACATTTTTACATTTATTTATTAATTACCTTGGGCTGGGGCTGGAACCTAGTACCTCGCACTTGCTGACTGCATGCTCTGTGCTGGAATGTGTGCTCCACCCCAGGCTTTGTTTTTAGGTTTTAATGTTATTTAGTAATAAACCCTAAATACACAGTGTATAGTTTTAAGCAGTCCTATAACAAAATTGAGTGGGTGATGTAGCATGATACCTATACAGATAACCTTCTTAACGACCTGCCTGCGTAGGGAATGCTCGGACCCAGCACCCAGGTGTGCTGACTTAGGACCCACTGCTCAGACCTGTGCCTCGTCTTTTTGTACATACAGTTCATAGAGCCTCAGTGTCTTTTTTTTTTTTTTTTAACATTTTGTTTATACATTACTTAAATTTTTGATGGTTGTACTGGGCAGCAAATTATTATAGCTTTATGTTCTGTTATAAATTGCGTTTTAGTAACACATGGAGGTTATTTTAATTTTTAATACATTTATTTTTTTAAGTGCATGTTTGCAATACTTAATGTCTGTATTCCTTGTGTGGAGTCAGTACATAGTGCCTGCCTGTAAGTGTATTCTGTTCCTTGATGTCTTTGTCAGAAAGGGACATGTGTCTTGCCAAATGCAGCGTTCTGTTTTATTACTAGGTCTTATAATAATAAGTGATACACAGAATCAACATCCCAGGTCCTTTCTTCATCCTCTTTCCCCGTCTCCACTCCACACCCTCATCTCTTGATCCTTTTCCCAGTAAAGAACTTTCTCTCTGTTTCCTATTATCTCTCTTTAATTTTTCTCTTTACATTTATATTTTGGGTTTCTCATTTAAGAGAAACCATGGGACATTTAACTTGTGTGTCTGACTTATTTCACTTAACATTATGGTCTCAAGGTGCATCCACTTTCCTACAGATGACTTGTTTATCTTTCTTTGTGGCAGAGTAGCACTCCTTTGTGTATAAATACCATATTTTCTTTATCCAGTCATCTGTTGGTGGACATAAAGGCTGCTTCCAAGATTTAGCTGTTACGAATTTTGCTGCTATACACATGGGTTTGTAGTGTATCATTAAATAATACTCCTCATTGTAAAAAATTAAATTGTAACTAGCAGACTCAGAAACTAGAATATATCAAAGAGGTAAGGAATTTTAGTTATATTTAATTGTAATAAAAAAGATACTTAAAAGTTCAGGTAATTTTAATTTCACAAGGAGTAGTGTGACCTGCAAGATATATTATTTATTTTCTATTTTAAAGAGAATAAAAAAACAATAAAAAGATGATAGGAAATTAACAATGGTTATTATAATTGGATATTATCTTCAGAGTAGTTGCTCTATTACCAGATATAGGCATGCAAAATTGATCAAACAGTATAAGTACTAATTGTTCCTTGCAGTGAACTAATAGAAATTAGTAGTACAATTATCTATCTTATTGTGTGTGTGTGCATATAATGTATATATATGTATTTTTTCCCCTTCTTTTCTCTTTCCCCCATCCCAGTTCTTTCCTTTTGAGCAATTTCTTTCCCTTTCACAGTGTCTACTATGGGAGACAATATGATGTTTACACGTGTGAGTCTGATTTATTTCACTTACGAGTGTGGTCTCTAGTTGCATCCATTTACCTATAAAAGCCTCAAGTTTACCTTTTTTTACAGCTGAGTAATACTCTAATGTACAAAAGTACCACATCTTTTTTATCCATTCCTTGGTTGATGGGCATCTGGGTTGTTCCCAAGATTTAGCTATGACAAATTGCGCTGCTGTAAACATGGGTGCACATATATTGCTGTGGTATGATGGTTTCAGTTCTTCTGGAAAAATGCCCAGAAGGGAAATAGCTGGGTGAAGTGGGACTTCTAATCCTAGTCTTGTGAGGAATCTCCACACTGATTTCCACAGTGACTTCACCAGTCTGTACTCCTATCAACAATGGAAAAGGGTTCCTTTTTCCCCACAGCCCCTCTAGCGTTTGTTGTTGGTTGACTTTTTGATGCCAGCCATTTTTTCTGGGGTGAGATGGAATCCCAGTGTTGTTTTAATTTGCATTTCTTGAATGACCAATGCTGTTGAACATTTTTTCATATATTTATTTGCCATTTGTATTTCTTCATCTGAGAAGTGTATATTCATCACAGATGCCCATTTTTGGATTGGGTTTTCGTATTTTAGGGGTCTGATTTTTAAAAATTCTTTATAGGGTCTAGATAGAAGTCCTTTGTCTGAGGGACAGTTGGCTAAAATTTTTTCCCAGTTCATGGTGGGTTTCCTTTTCACTGTGTTGGTGATTGCTTTTGGTGTGCAAAAGTTTTTTAATACGATGAGATCTACTGGAAGAGAAAATTGAGAAATACTTGAAAGAATCTGCAAGATATTGATAGTACTTTTATTGGCAGAATTTTTCAATTTTAGAAATGTATTCTAGTATTTGTTTGTGTGACTATATATGTGTGAATGAATACATGCTTTTTTTATAGTGGGCTTCTATATTTCTGTAAGATGAGACATGTGTACTTGGTACTTGGGATTGAATCCTGAGCCTTCACACTGAGGTACATCTCCTGTCCTTTTTATTTTTTGAGACAGGATCCCACTATGTACCCAAGGTAGGCTGGAACTTGTGATCCTACTGCCTCAGCCTTCCAGAGTGCTGGTATTTCAGGGGTGTGCTACCATACCAGCTGAAAACATGAATATTTTAAAAGGGTTTTTTGAAATACGTTGCTCATGTTTCTGGTTTTGATTTTCATAGAAATACATTTTGAGCTGGAAAAGACATAGTTGATGATAAAATGTAACTGGTAAACTTACAAATGAATGAACTTTAGCATATAAAGAAGCGAGGGTTCTTTAGCAAAGAACGAAAGTGATGTAATGAGAACGTTGCTTTTCCTGTTGTATCCTTGTTCCGTGACCTTTTGGTCATAATTTCATTCCTGATATGTGAAACACTGTGTACCACGATGTCAGCAGGGTTATAGACGGAACAAGAATTCCCGGAGAAATTGCTCAGGAAAACGGTTTTTTGGAAGAATATTTTTTCTTAAAGACAAGTCTATTAAAAATGTTTACTAACATGCATACAAAAAATATGTTGAAATAGAAATTAGCAACACAGTTATTTTTCTCCAAGTTTTTTTTTTAAACTAAACCTGGTATTCTTCCTTCCTGGGGGGCCATAGGAGAATTTGTGGTGTCCTGAATGAGCGAGGGGTGTGCGGGTCAGCAGGGAGCAGGTCAGTGGGACTTACCTGGGTGCGCCAGGGTCGCCCTGAGCTAGCGACTAGGGAGGAGGGCACAGCCCGTGGAGCAGCCGCGTCTGAGCTCCTCGCTCGAGCTGCCGGGAGGAACTAAGGACGGTTCACCATGTAAGTCGCTCAGGTCACTTCATAGCTTAAGAAAAACAGTCTTCATATACCTTTCCCAAAAAAGTTTAGAAAAAGTTGATTTGAAACTTACGAAATACATACACTTTTTAGGCGAAAGAAATACTTAACCTGAGCAAAAGTGAGTTGTAGACGAGAATTATTTGTTTTATACTTTGGACTTTTTAGTTTGCCCTTGGGGCATTTCCCATGGATGTTGGAGTGTTCTAAAACTTAACTCAGAATGATTGAAAACAAATCAACATAAAACACATTCATGCTTGTTCTCCTTTACTACATTATTAATTTGAAAACACTAGATTGGAATTTTCCAGAGAAGTACATGACTGAGGCAAAAACCTGAATATTTCCTTGTCATTTTATGTTAGGAATGACTGAAGATCACTCTTTTTTTGCCAGTGTATATGTTTTGTAATTTAAAAATATTTATTTATCTAGAGGATTGATTTAAATTCATATTTCTTAAATCTCTGACGTTATCTTTAACTGATATTTTTTCCCCTTTTCTAGTTTTGGCAAGCGTTCTGCAGGAAGCTTTAGGCGGGGCTGTGAGTGCATTGTTCTAGAGCCTTCTGAAATGATTGTGGTAAGATATTCTGTAGTGATTCTCCCTTTCCTAAAACCTTGTGTGACATAATGGTGCTTTCACAGACTATTTATAGTGGGCTTCTATATTTCTGTAAGATGAGACATGTGTACATCAGACCTGTTTCCTAACCTTGCGTTATGAACTTGAGTTTATAGTGTAGTCATGTGTAGGATTCAGTTGAGTGTAAACGAGAGGGTTGAGGAGGATGAGGACCTCAGTGCGTGGTTCTCGAGCTTTGAAATCAACTCATGATAATGCCAGTTAATTTTGAAATTTAGGTGGATCTGTGAATTGTAGGCTTTCAGTTTTCTTAGTATTTATTGGGAAGCATGAGTTAGTTTAAATGAATTACAATGGTATATACTCAAGCAATAATATAAGGATATCAGTTGAATTTCTTCATGCAATTGAAAGAAAACTCTACGGAGTACTGAGTTAATTAACATGCTGTTGTCATCTTTATATTTCAGTTGAGATTTAAAAATACATTAAGACAGATTACATATAATACCAAAGTAGACATTATTTCTTGTAAAACTTAAAAAAATCTGTCATGTGTCTTCTTGCTCTATAGACATGGTTTTAAGATGCGATAATATGTACGCTGCTTTAAAAAAAAAATCAGTGACAAAAATAAGATGTAGGGCTTGCAGTCCATATGTTGATTTGATGCTGGTATTCTTGCTGTTCCTCATCCAGCATCCTCTCTGGGCAGGAAACTGTTTAGTAAAATAAACGGTAGAATAATAGAGATAACAGTAGAATCTTTTCACATTTGAGAAAGTATTTGGCAAACAACTCCGATTATTGTCAGAGAAGATTTGGGGTTTCCCCAGTGATGCTGGAGAGGAATTCTGCAGAAATAAGAACTTCCTCAGCAAAGCTACCGACAAGTTTTTGTAAAATTTCACCAAATTTATTCTTAAATGGAAAAGTAGGATGGTGGTAAGTAAAAATTTACTATTGGGAAAAAATGTGGGCAGATAAATCGGGAGTTTTCAAAAGTTTCCTAAAGCATTCTAAACATTGTCCTCTGCTAACGCTGATTTTTGATTTGTCTGAAGGATTTTTGGTTTTTGAAGTTACTGTAGTACTTAATATTTGTTGATACCCCACAAACTGCTGAGTTTCCCGTGTGAGCACAACCTTCGAGGCTAACCTGCCTCTACATGAGTAGTCTCATTTCAGCATCAATTTAGGATCTGAATAATTTGATGCAACTTTTGTTTGTTAATAATCCTGTCATCAGTGGGGTGTGGTTGTGCATGCCTGTAATCCCAGCACTGGGGAGGCTGAGGCAGGAGGATCGTTGCAAGTTGGAGGCCAGCCCAGGCTACAAAGTGAGCTCAAGACTAGCCTGAACTACATAGTGAGACCTTGTTTCAAAAAGCCAAAAAAAAACAAAAACAAAAACAAAAACAAAAGCCCCCCCAAAAAACCAGTCATCAGAGTTTCTAAGATGTTTAAAATGAGGAATTTTTTTTAAGCAGTGCTGCAACAAAAAGAAAACTAAAACCATATGTAATGAAAGTAGGAAGAGAAACCCTTATTTTCCTAGAGCCATTCTGTTAGCAGTTCTAATTGAGTCATTTGGGTTTTTTTTTTTAAACACATTCACTCAGACACATCAGATGTGTGTGTGTATGCACTTGTGTGGAGTAGCTGCTTTCATAATGTGTAGTAATGTGTCCCGTGAGATCTTTTACTAATAAATCAGTGCAGAGACTACTAAAAATATCCTTCCCCTTTGAAACTACAGGAAATTCAAGAGTTCCCCATATTGTCCTGAGTAGAACCAAAAATGCCTTTTCATAAAAACTAAGTTACTCAAAACCAACTTGTTTCAGAAAAGTTCAGAGACCCTTGATGTGTGTCTAGTCAGCTTGTCTGCAGGTGTTTTTGCAAAGCGGATGTGTGGACTCTGTGTAAGTTTCTGTCCAAGTCTGATACTTCTGTGGGATTTTATGCTTGAAGAATGAAGGGTCTGGGAAATTGTGTTTCAGGTGGACTATATGGATGAAAATGAAGAATATTTTCAGCGTCAAGCCTCTCATAGACAGTCTCGAAGAAGATTTAGAAAAATCAACCAGAAAGGTGAAAGACAAACAATTATTGATACTGTGGATCCTTATCCTATGGGCAAACCACCCTTGCCTAGAGGCTATCATACGGTAAGTTATACAGATGTAACATTTTTATTCATTTTATGTTTTAAAAGTTTGGTGAAAAGACATTTAACATTTTCATTTTTGATGACTAACTCTCTGATATACAAAAATGTAGATTTTGCTGGAAACACGTAATATGAATAGTTTTTAGAAAGCATTGAAATAAGATTTCAAAGGCAATTTAGCTCTTTTATTTCCTAAAATAAAAGACAAAAAGTTTAAAGCGATTTTGCCCCCCTGTTATGGGGAATAAACCCAGCACCTTCACACTGAGCTACACTGTCCGCTCTTCTAAAATTTTATTTTTTACATTTCTGAGACAGTCTCACTGAGTTGCCACGTTGCGTGGGCTAGTCTTGAACTTGCTGTCCTGCCACAGATTCCTAGAGTGCTAGGGTTGCTGGTGTGTGCCACCGTGGCCCACTCTGCAGGGGAGAGTCCAAGACTTGAGTGTGAAGATGCTCTGAAATATTTCTAACTGATTCAGAGCTCCTCTTATATGCTGTAATCCGCCTGATTGCCGCTTACTTAATGAAGATTTAATAAATTTCTTTTTATGTTTGAAGAAACCAAGTCATCGATAATGAAGTGTTTTGTACATGACCTCCATAAAGTCAGTTAAGAACCTTATTTTCCTCATTCCCTTGTTTTAAACAGAGGCATAATAGTGTGCAAGATAAACTGTCTTATACATTACATCAGTGGTCACTGTATGTAAAATTAATTGTAAAATAAACACGATACAATAAAAGTAGGTAATTGATACCTACTTTACACTTTCCAGTTTTTTCCTTTTCTTTCTGCAAATAAATATAAATGCAAAATGCACTGAAAATATTAGACTTAAAAATGAGTTAGTTTTTAGTTAACTTTAAGTAACCTATTTTAATCCCCATCCTTCATACATTCTTTGTCCTGGAGAGCGCCTCGTGTGTAGGTGTTAGCTGTGTTCTGGCCACAGCAAGCCCGCCTGCCTCTTTTGCTCCCCATGCAGTGTTTTACTTAAACATGACTTTCACATTGAGTCATTTCATTGAGCTCGTTGGAAAGGGCTGCTCTTTGCTCGTCACAAAGACAGCTTTGTTGGTCTCTTGAACTTGGTATTTAAAGAAAGAAAAACTCATAAAAGGTTTTTTATTACCATTGTCCATTAAAGAAGGTATATTTTTAGTGTTAATTTAGCATCATGGAAGAAGGAGGAAATGTTCATTGAAAGAGTTGTTCATATTAATAGTGCAAATAGCCTATAATATTTTGGCCTACTATTAATATTCTTCTGCTCTGGAATTATTTTTCCTAATCAGTTTCCAGACTAAGATGGAGGGAGTGTGTATTAGTGTGGAAGTTGGTTGGTTCAGTTTCATACTCATACTTGTCACACTGAAGTGGGGAGGGTTGTTTTCTAGCTTTGCCCTACCCCCCCACCCCTCCCACTATGGACAACTCGATTTACTTTTCCTGTGTGCTTCCCCTTTCTTGCTCTATTTTAAAAGATGAATAGTATTTTGCATTACTACAAGATTTTTTCTTAAGGGGTTTTGACAGTGTATTGCCTGATCAGCAGGACTTTTAGGGATAATTTAATGCTAGGATGAAAACTAACTTGATTACTCATGGGTCATATACTGGTGTACTGGTATGTGATACGTTGGTATTAACCCTTAACCTAATGAGTTAAGATTGGTGGCCACATTGTTGTAATTCAAAGTATTGAATCCTTTTTGTGGAGGTGCAAATTTTGTATACATATTAGCATTTTACCTAAATACATAATTTTATTTTGTATTTTTGATACCATATAATAAAATAATTAAAGTTATTCACTGTTAGCATTGTCATTTTTTAAAATTCTAAGCAGAAATGTTTCTCTTCAAGAAATTGGGTAATAGGGTGAGGCTGAGGATAGAAACTTCATTCAGAGGGCATGAACATGCTTAGCAGGTGATGTAAAGTGATTCCAGGCGCATGGCTAGAGAAGTACAGAGAACACTGCACAGTGGCCAGTTGTGTGTGGTCATTCTTAACCCGATTTGAACGTGACCTTCATGCGGCAGATGGAATGTAATATAGCATGTCTGGTAACATTCATCTTTTCCTTCCTCTTTTTATGGCACTCATTTCATGTGGCTCAAAGGAATGCACTAAATCTCAGGTATTGTAATTTGTGTGTGGTCTCCTGACACTAACGAAGCTTATTTGTGTATTTGCATTGTAACTAATGAGTGTGTGATGTATGATGTGTTCTGCTTGGTCTTGTTCTTTTGTCTTCGCCTTCATTTGGTAAGATCTCCTCAGACACTGAAGATGGAGTGGTTCGGCGTAGTTAGCGTGGGTTGCTGTGGAGCTTCCCACACAGCACATCTTCGCTCCCTTCCCCCCACTTGTCCCTGTTCCTTTCTGCACCTTCCAGCTCAGTCCCCTCCCCATTTGCAAAAGCTCTAGTTCTATTTTTTTCTTCATTTCTTCTTTTTAAATCCCATTTTCCTTCTTCCCATCCCCCTTTCTCTTGTTTCCCTTTCCGTTTGAAAAAGATCTCCTTACCTCTTATTATCTTTTATTTTGCTCTTTATTTTATGGTTCTCACATGAGAGAATTTGTGTGATATTTAAGCTTGTATGTCTGATTATTTCACTTAAATTATGGTCTCAAGGTGCCCTCATTTACCTATGAAAGCCTCAAGTTTTAGAAGGTTGCTATATCTGCACTGATCTCAAGTTGACCTGGTCACCTTTTTTTAAAAAATTTATTTATTTATTTATTTACTTACTTACTTACTTATTCATTCATTCATTCATTCATTCATTCATTCATACATACATACATACATACCAGGAATTGAACTCAGGACCTTGTGCTTGCCAGGCAGGCGCTGTGCCACTGAGCTGTATTCCCAGCCTCCCCGCTTGTGTGTGTGTGTGTGTGTGTGTGTGCGTGCCTTTTTTGAAGAGAGAATGTAAGTGTAACCTGTGGCTGAGAGTGAATGGACCCCTGTTCTTCACTAACTTGCACAGCAAGTAAACGAACAAAAGACAGGGCAGACCGTAACATTTCACTACCTTCTGTAGGGAAGCTTTTGGGAAATGGAGTAGAAATTTACATTTAAAATAGTATAGGTAAAACTTGGTAAAGTTCAAGAATCCCAGTGTGAGAGCATATTGGGAATTCACTGGTGAATTTTAGTCAGAACAAAAAGGCTTAATATAGAAGAACACGGGAGTTTAAAATCTTACTTTCTCATTTGCACTTTATTTTTAACCACATTGCATGCGTTTACTTCAGTCTACATTTTAATTACGAGGCCTATACTGTCCTTACTCATTTTTTTCATGCTAAAATACTTGATCTGTGCTTTTCAGTGTTAGTCCTTTGGAATTTGATCAAATTTGGTGTTGTCAGGGAATTTGGAGTTAAGGGATGAAAACATTTATCGCTGGAAAGTAGTTGATTATGTAACTACCAACATTTTATGGTACAAGAAAAAGATCATTTTTATTCATAGTGAGGAAATCTGTCATTAATGTATGTTTGGCTGATACGGTAGTCTTCCTTTAAATCATGAGCTGTTGGTGTAATTTCTCAGGTTAAAAGAGGGAACTCCTTTATGTTCTACACAGAGTATGTGCCAGCATTCCATATTGTTTTTCAGAAGCCCTGCTAAAATGGTAAATCCAAAAAAAGTTCATTTAATTCTTAGGTCTGATAATTGTAGATTTTCTAATATAGAATTGTAATGACATTAATATTTTGAGCTTGGATTTGGAAAGAGTATATTTTTAAAATATTTAATATTTTAAAAGATCACTAACCTTTAAAAGATCACTTGATCCTTTTTGGCATGGAAAATTGTCAGTCTACTTTTGATTTAATTCTTTTATCCTTTTCTTCACGTAAATGAAAACAGCTCCTTTCTTGTCCTGGTGTGGAAAGACCAGAAGTTATAGAGAGACTTTACGATGCAAGTGGGGGAAAACTTGTCCTGTGCAAACTTGGAGGCTGCGCGCTCACACTGATCTTTCAGATACTTGGAGTCTTCCTTAGGCTGGCTGGAAAATGAAGATGCTGTCTCGCTTCAAGTCGAATTGACTCCCTGCCCCGCTCTTACCTGCCCCCACCCCCAGGCCCTCGCTTTAGACAAGTCTGAGTTAGGAGGGTTTGAACGCGGGACACGATAAAACAGTCTTAAATCGCACTCAATGTAAAGTTTTTGAAATAATGAAAACCCATCAGCTGTCTGAAACAATTCCAGCCTAACATTTTATTATCATGGGAATATATACTTAAGAGCACTGTTTAAAACTTCACTGTATTGAAGTTTTCAGTAGGCTTAAAATTCTTGGTTGGGGATATAGAAAAATAAGAGAAAATATTGCATAAGATTAATGTACTATAAATTCAGTACAGTGGATTTAATACGCTGTGTGAAGAGTGATGCATTGTAATCATTGTAATACATTGATTGATACATTGTAATCAATGTAATAAGAATGAGGCTTTTGAAAATCAGTCCCTTTTGTTTTAATAAGGATGTTTATATAAGACAAGCCCTTATTCTTACGATGGCTCTATGAGATAGCATCATCCCTGGGAAGTACGTAACTCTACAGTGGAGTTTACAAGTTTTCCCATGTTTTAAAATTTAAAAATTATAAATATTTATGAGGTTTCATACATGTGTACATTGTGTAATGATTAAATCAGGGTAAACAGCTCTGTCCTCAAACATTTTTTTTTTTGAGATTTGTTATTTTCTGCAATCAGGGATTTCTTAGGTTTTTTTTTTTTTTAGTTTCAAAAACTAGTTACTGAAAGATTACAGCATTTCATTTCTGTGATTATATACCTTTATTTGGCATTAAACCTTTAGACTTGAGCTACTGCTGTTAAATTAGCAAGACGCAATGTTTTGACTCATGGCATGGCTTTGCTTTCTGACTTACTATGATTTTGAAGGATCTCTAATTCAGTATTTGCTACTGATGTGTTTGGAGTAATATATTAATGATTTGTAGTCTCTTTGTATATCTAGAACTTAGAATGTTGGAGACATCAGATGTTGTCTTCAGCTCATATCCTACCTGATAAAAATTATTCATATTATATTTAATGATAAATCTGCCTTCATGCATTCAAGATATTCATACATAGTGGAAATACCTTAGTTATTTTAATATTTCCACCTGTTTATTTGTTTTTGTCTTTTTGAGACAGGGTCTCACTAAACAATTCAGGCTGGCCTTGAGCTCACTTTGTAGACCAGGCTGGTCTCAAACTCGCAAGGATCCTCCTGCCTCAGCCTCCCGAGTGCTGGGATTACAGGCCTGCGCCACCATACCTGGCATCCACCCTTTCAAAATAAAAATTAATGAAGCATTTGATTATTTAAATGAACGTAGGACATTTCTCTTCAGTAGTGTTGTCAGGTGTGTGAATTACAGTAGGATGGAATGTTGGGAAATCTCTGTGTCATTTTTCTTGTACCACACAGGGAAAGCTCAGAATGAATTTACGTATTTTCACCGATGTAACGAATGTCTATTAAGCAGTCATCCTTTCCCAGGTCTGCCCCAGATTCTGTGACCTTGCCCCCGTTGACCTT